ACGCGTGCTGTGCGATATGAGACGTAGTATGGTACACTCTCTTTAACCTGACGCCTAACCGCTACAGTATGCGCTGCGACTCGTCCCTTTGCCGCGTCTGCGTCTCTTGCTTCGCCGCGCGGTGGGCCTGTTGGGGGACACCCAGAGAAATGGAACTGTCGCATTTTGAACGGACATAACTTCTTTGTACTCGTTCAGTTTGGGAAAAAATTCATATATATTCGAAATTTATATTTTTTCCGAGCACTACTCAAACTGCTCTGTTTCAATCCCCTAACTTGTCCGAAGCATACCAAAGCGGAAGGTTGAGGCCGTGAAAAAAGTGGAATGTTGCACTTTTCTTTGTTCTTTTGCTTTCGAATCTACTCAAATATCAACACAGCTCTTATGAACCTACAGAACCTATATTCAGACACACTGATATACGGGAGGGAGGCAAAAAAAGCTTCTTGTTTGACATCTAACTGTACCTCCAGCTGGAGCTGGAGCGATTACGGTAGGCCTCCTTAGTTCGACGGTGATAACAGATGACGATATTTTGAGGATGGTGAGGGCAGTGAAGGAGGACTTGCTTCTACTCTAGAGAAGCATTTGAGGGAAGTTTTGGCGTAAATTTCATCAATGCGTCACCCTCTGCGACGAGAAGTTTGGTAATGCGTGCCATGGGAGAAAAGGCTTTTTTCCAGTCCTCCTGTTGTGGTGGGACGGCACCATAGTTGGTCCTTGAAGTGGAACCGTCCAAGAAAATAATTCTGCAAAATTGAAAGCAAAATTTTCCGGCAGATCAGCGCTTAGAGGCAGTAAACTTTATGGCAGGAAGGGGAAGCGTTTTTGATGACATTGCTGAGCGACATTGGTGGAACGGCCTTAGAATTTGGTCCCACTCCCAGCGCTTTGTAGGTTTGTTCCACAAGACGTTTCAGTTCTCATCAGATTCGCTTTCATTCCCTTAAGGCCTTTTCAGTGATAAATGACTTCATTTATTGCGCTACATCAAACCGCAAATCCCTCAGCGTTTCGAAACGCTCTACGTAATGTGAAGGTTTTCGTCTAGGCAATTTAAAGGGCACAACCAGGCAAACAATCGTGCGAACGCTTTCTGTCGGTCTGCCAGTATAGACCCCTAAAGGACATTCACAAATGTGGCGTTCCCGTGCACGGAAACCAAACCGACAAGAGCGCTTGGGCCTTGCAAAGTAAGCTGCTGAAGCTGCAGATTTTTTTCTCTTATCAGGCTGTTGTCTGGCGCTCTCTCATCTGTAGCGCTCTCTCGCCTCATACTCTCCTCTCCGCGCTTAGTCTCTCATTCCCTTAGCACAGCCGATTAGGAAGGTGAGTGAGCCCTTAACCTGAGCGTTTTTGACGGATTCTTTCCTTTTTTTTCTTTACTGCCGGCCCACCAATACATTCGCATTCGTGTGCAAGAGCCACACCAATGTGATCCTGGGGCATGCCTTTAGATCTCAGGAACCATTTGCAGCAGGTGATAGACATAGACGGGTGTCGGCAAATGTTCTCGAGTCTCCTAAAATTCCCTATTTCACCCCTTACGAGTTGTGAGTGTTATTAGAGGGAGAAGAGAAAGAGGAACACTGATACTGAATGGTAAATTACTGTGACAAGAAGTGATGGAATTTCAAAGGGCTGATTACTGCAGGATGTGACAAAATCCGTTATCGAGGATAGGACTGCACTACTGTAAGGTAGAGCTCATGCAGGGTCTCGATGAGCACGCATTTCATGCACATATCGGTTCCAATGAAAAACAGGTCCTTCAAATAATCAATATTACGCTGAATAGAAGATCGATGAAATGCAGGCGCACATGAGAACAGGAACGCAAAGTACAAGATTAGTTGAACGGTAGCAGGGTACCACGAGCACTCATGATGTGCCTCTGAATTATGCTCATTGTGCGATTGGACTAGGGTTACAGAAAGGTAATCGTTCATAACGTCGTTGGCGGCTTTCCATTCGTCCACCCTCTAAGATAGTCTCTTCCCTGTCATGTTCCTAAAAACTGCTGTGCACCCGCGTTTCTACCGGGAACATTTCATATATTTATTTTATTTATTCATTTGGGGGCGGAAGTGGTGTAGTGGCAAGTGGCACGCTTACCACGCGAGCGGTCCGGGGATCAAATCCTGGGTCGTGAGTCGCCCGGGCCAACCAAGCCTTCCATCCCCGGGGTCGGTTAATTGGTACCAGACTTGTCTGGGAGGATAAAAACACTGACTTGTACATCGGCTGGCCCCCGCAAGTCATTGTATAGGCCACATCGCATTCAAACGCCACTACGAATGTACAAATGGAAGTAGAATGCGTGCCGCATCCCAAAAAGGGATTGATCAACGGCAAATGCTTTATCCTTTATTTTTTGACATTTTATTTATTTATTTATTTCCTTTATAAATATGCCGTCGATGGGAATCTGCGCCGTAGCAAGTAGTATCGCTTACCACACCCACGTTCCCGGTATCGAATTCAGTGTCGTACGTCATCGAGACCAACCATACCTTACCCTCAGCGGGGGTCTCTTAAAGGTGTCATTGATGTCATTGATGGGGGAGTTGTCGTTGATGAAAAAACACAGGCTCGTACATCGGCTGGCCCCTCAAGTCCACCAAATCGCATTCAAAATTTCACTTCGTTTCTAATTGTAAGTGTAAGACTTAAGTTTTTCAACAAGGACAGAAAGAATGATGCCGAAATTGGATACCGAATTCTGATAAACGCATATGATAAATACATTATCGTATTGATCAAATACAGTAATCAAAATATGCTTTAGACAACCAACAACATTCTGGCAATTTTCCGGCGGCAGATGGGTACCGCTATCGAGTTGTACCGCTACGATTCAGTAAAAGCATTCCCCAGGTTCAATGTGCTGTAGTTCTTGCGCACTAATACGACTGTATTGGTGCGATATAAGTCGGCAGTAAAGAAAAAAAGAAAAGAAATCGTCGAAAACGCCTAAGTAAACAGGGGCTTACTGTCTGCAGCAGGCTGTGGTAAGGCAAGTGAGAGGCTAAGCGCAGATATGACAGTATGAGGGAGAGAGCACAACAGGTGAAAGGGCGCCAGAAAGCAACCTATAAAAGAAAAAATTGCATTGCAGAAGTTTATTTTGCACAGCAGTAGCGCCTATTGGGGTGAGTTTCCGGGCACGTGAATGCCACTCGGTGAATGTTGATTGCTCTTTGAGGTCATATTAGGCAGACTAAAGCGACAATCGTTCCAGCCCTGGGTTGTGCCTTTAAATCTCATTCAGCAGAAAACTTCCAATAATCTTTAACGACAAAGCCATATTGTATCGCAGGATGTGGTAGATAGACCAAAAAGATGTCTAAAAAATTCTGCATTGTGCTAGTTTGTTCGGAAAGTTTTCGCCGATTTTGACCTTCAAATTAAAAGCCGCATATCTTGGTCCAAACAGTACATTCTGATCGAATAAAACCAATTGCGATTCCCTAATACTTTGCCTCAAAAGGTAGGATTCAGTAGCTCAGAATGTTGGAAGTGCTGGAGTTCTGTAGGCGAAGAACCTGGCAATGGTCGTCCCACCATTACGTTGGGTTTAAGCGTTTAATCTTTTTGAAGAGACTATCCAGATGGCTGGTAAAGTGGTAGTTGGTAGGCAAGCCGTTCCACTGTGCAATTTCGTTGGGAGCCACAGTTCACTAGCGTCCAACTTGTGCACGGCTGAGAGTGCGCGGATGGGCCTGCAAGCCGGTGGGGGAAGGAGTCGGCGGCACCTATGTTTCAACGTCTGTTGAGACGTGCGTTAGGCCCAGTTATATTCAACCCTAGGTTGCTACAAGTAGCAACGGGGGGGTCGTATTTTGATGAGTTTGTAGAGGGAGGGGGGTCGTGAAAAATTTTTTTCGAAAAGTAGCAACGATAGGACCGACCCTGTTCGGGGACTCCATCTCCCTCACACCTAATTAGGAGGCGGCCTGCTGAACAGTTCCATGCAGATTTGCTTTTGATCGGAACCCTCATTTAATCTTTGTCAGACTCCGATATCCGATCTTCACCTTGTCTTCCTTGAAGATCTTAGCATCGAAGGAAGATATTCGAATCGACAGCACAGCGAATTTTTGAGTGGATTGTGGATCAAATTCTCAGTTTGCTGTTGCAAGTGAAACCGTTCTAGGCCACTACGGGCGCATCCTTCAGCAAAACATACCTCGTCGCGCTCAGTTCAGAGACCTGCTTTCCTTCGTAGTGAACACATTTTCACTCCTTCTACATCCAACTTGTCGTACACTCGTCACTAAGACATAGCTGGAAGTCAGGGAAGTCGTCCCAAGGTGAAAGGTAGCAGCTGAGAGGGTTGTGATCTAAGAATAAAGGGCAGAAAGAAATGAGTGCTGTATTATCGAGAGGAATCCATCTGAAAATAAAAATCGAGAATCTCAGAAATCTCGCAGAAGCTGTTTTGGCACACGTATAAGCAACCTGCTGTGAGCCGAATGAAAGTGCTATAACATATATATCATATATATCATGCTATATATATCAATATGTGCGAGAAATTGCGGAATTCAGATGCTATGGAAACATCAGAATTCGATGTTCAGCAATTGGGAAAGTCATTTTTCAAAGCAGATGGCGGAAAACATTTGGTCAACCTGATGCTTTTCAGGGAAGCGCTCGGAAATCCTTCGCTAATAAACTCCAACAATAGTTGACCGGAAATTTTGATTGTAGTGTGGATATCAGAGATCTGAACGAAAACACCCAGTAAAC